CAGTCACATCAGTCTCTGTACAGAGGAGCTTACAATCTAATGTCCTCACCCCAGTTACATCACTCTCTGTACAGAGGAGCTTACACTCGTGTCCCCACCCACAGTCACATTACCGGCTGGACGCAGGGCTTCGTGACGCGCTGGACACTAGACATGTGCACCGGGAAAAAAATTGTTTTATTTCAGCTTGTTTTGATTCGGATTTTGTGTTATTTTGTTTTTAGGGATTTGGACGAAATTCGTTAGTGGTAGTCTGTTCGAATGTTCATTTCCGTTTCATGTTCGTATCATTCGTTTCATTGCAGCAAAGTGACATAAACATTATTTTTTTGTCACTTTGCTGCAATGAAAATTCGTCCACAAACGAAAATGTGTACAGACTACCGCTAACGAATTTCGTCCTGAAAACTAATTTTTCCGAAACGAATGTCTACTGGAAGCAGGGCTTAGGGTTAGTTCACACCATAAGCAGTGCGCTCCGGTCCGATTTAAGTGAATGGCACCGTAGCCATGCCCTCCGGCTGCAATGCGATCGCCCGCACGGGATCACAAGGTACATTGTGTATGCAGTGCATTCAGGTGCAGTGCGATCAAAATAGTGCTTGCAGCATTTTAATCGCACTGCACCTGAACGCACTGCAGGCACAATGTGCCTTGCGATCCTGTGCGGGTGATCGCATTGTGGCCAGAGGGCGTGGCTACAGTATCATTCACTTCAATGGCCCACCACGCCCCCTCCAGCCCAGCAAAAAAGTGATCTGGCCGCAATGCAATGCAGTGCGTTCCGGCTGGAGCGCACTGCAAGTGGTGTGAACAGGCCTTAAAACGGTACAAGGAGCAGCCATATTCTTGGTATAACCACTTCCAGCGGAGCACGTACATTTACATGAACCCGCGGGAAGTGGTTAAAAAAAAACCCACACATACACGTAATGAAACACACATATCACACACTCATTAAAAACACACACACATAGCTTTATTAAAAAAAAAAAAATCACACACACATAAAAAAAACACACAATAAAAACACACATACACACACAACTAATAACAATAGTTAATAAAAAAAATGTCGCCCTCTCCTGCTTACCTGTTTTGCGGGAAGGGTGGGCTGCATTCCTGGGCTCCAGTGTGACACATGGGGATTATAGTAATGGTGGAGTGTAGGATCAATGTGATCTGCATCTCAGGCTGATGCAGACCTACTAATCGATCCCCGCCTGTGTCACTGACGGCACCACAAGGGAACGATCAGTATGATCTGCATCAGCAAGAGATGCAGATCATACTGATTCTCCACTGGACCACCAGGGAATTATTTTCATTTAATATATTGCCGTTTCGGCAATATATTAAATGAGATGTGGGCACTTGCCAGTTTTAAAGAGGGCTGCCGCTACTCGCGGCGGCCATCTTTAAAAACGTAATGTGCAGTCAGTCAATGCAGTGGAGGCAGACTGGAGACAGGGGGACACCGGAGGCCCGCACAGAGAGAGCACCCCAGGTGAGGATCTTGAGTGTACGGGCCCCGGCTTCCTCCGGTGCTGCGGGGGCCCGGCCGCCTCCACCTCCTGCCAGTCACCTGTACGGCCGTCGGCTGATAGTCATGTAAGGTACCCGGCCAGGCCCCTCAGGCGGCGCTGGGCCCCTTACTTGCGTATCGGCCGTACCCCCCTGAGGTCGGCCCTGGTGACACTAAACTCAGGAGTTAAATCCGAAAAATACATTCAAGTAGCTTAACTATTAACAAAAATGTATCCTATTTGTGTATCACTCGGCTGTAGACCCTCAAATCATCTCTGAATTGGTGCTGACACTGTCCTTTCTTATGGAGGGTGGCTACTTTTGTTCCCCATGGCCCCTGTGCGTGTTGTAAAGTAGCTACTACTCCAAGCTCACTCCTGTAATGGACAACAATTTCAATACAAATTAGTAAACTAAGAGGGTTATTCACAAAGCTGCCGAAGGATCCAGCCGTAGCTTTGGCTGATCCTTCAGCTAGCTTCGGTTACAGGAGCAATTTGGTTCAGTAGAACCGAAGGGCTGCTGTACGTGATATTCACTATAGCCCATACAGCTCTCGAAGTTGGCCGAGCAGCTCAGTCGAGCCGAAGGCATATGCTTCGGCTCGACTGAGCCGAGGTGAAAGCCGAAGCTGGCTGAACGGCCGGCCATTGGCCGACCGACAGCCTGCTACTGACTGCTGGGCGGAGCCAGACGTCATCTCACAGCTGGCTCCGGCCACTTGCACAGACAGATCAGCGTCCCTGGTTACCAGGTAACCATGGATGCTGATTTCCAGACAGCCCAACTCTCCCGGACGCTCCGGGAGTCTCCCGCTATTAGATAGCAGCTCCCGGCCGCCCGGGAGAGAAACACTTTCTCCTGGAAAGTTTTACTCTGCTCGATCAAGCAGAGTAAACCTTTCCCTGCTCTGTTGTCTTTTTGTTTTCTTCTTCTGACATCGGAGCCGTTGGCTGCCGTCAGAATAAAAAAAAAAACAGCATAGGAATGCATAGCTACATTCCTATTGGCTATTTCAATTTGCAATAGCCAATAGCAAACTAGCTATTGCACCCTCGACTGAGCCTAGGGGAAATCCGAAGCTGGCCAAACGGCCGGTCATTGGCCGGCTGAAAGACTGCTACTGACAGCTGGGATGAGGGGAACAGCTGATCGGTCCTGAATTCTCCCTTCTATCCGACTTTGTGAGTGCAATACAAAGTTGGATAGAAGTGAGATTTCAGGACCAATCAACTGTTCCAGGGCAGAACTGCTCTCCTGCACATACCGTCAGCGATGCCGATCTGCCCGGGAACAGCGGAGAAAGCTTTGAATTCTACACCTTTTGCCGGTCACACATTTTTACCCTGGAAAAAAATGGGCGTGACTACGTTAGAATGTGTGACCATGTGACTGGTCACATATTCCACCGCCGAAAAAATGTGCGTGATTACATTAGAATGTGTGATCACTTCACCGATCACACATTCTAACGCTGTCACAATCTGTGATAGAACCCCCCTAAAGAAGGAAGGACAGTGTCAGCACCAATTCAGAGATGATTTGAGGATCTCTAGCCAAGTGATACACAAATAAGATACATTTTTGTTAATAATTAAGGTACTTGAATGTTTTTAAGATTTAACTCATGAGTATAGTGTCTCTTTAATACACTTTCCTGAAGTCACCAAGGGATATGTAACCCGATCACTAAACTCTCATATAAGCTTTAAAGGCGTATTACACTTTTCGCAAAAATTAAAGCGCTATTAAAACCTGAAAAAAAGAATAAAGTGCTGTAGACCATTCCCTTACAGGGTCCCATGGAGCCACCCTTGCATGTGCGCTCCTGGCATGCATAGAATAACACAACTTTTCTGAAAGCCTGCCACAACAAGTCATTCCTCTCTCCTTAGTACACATTAGTACACATGCACCACCCTACAGCTCCCTCTCCCCTTTCCTTAGTACACATGCACCACCCTACAGCTCCCTCTCCGTAGTGCGCAAACACCACCCTCCAGCTCTCTTTCCTCTCTCCTTAGTGCACACATGCAGGGCCGGCCTTAGGCCTTTAGGCGCCCTGTGCGAGAAAGCTT